TGCCATCAAGCCATATAGGGGCAGAATCCATTTGTATTTCTGGAGTGACAGGGGGATCTCAGGAGCTGACTGTATTGGAGGCCGAAGTGAGCCTAACCGGGAATGAGTGGCAAAAGCACCGCATTGTGACTGGGCCAGATGCTCCGTGCATCCTTGGCATAGACTACCTCCGGAGAGGGTATTTCAAGGACCCAAAAGGGTACCGGTGGGCTTTTGGTATAGCTGCACTGGAGGCAGAAGAAATTAAGCAGCTGTCTACCTTGCCTGGTCTCTCAAAGGACCCTTCGGTTGTGGGGTTGTTGAGTGTTGAAGAACAACAAGTGCCGATTGCCACTACAACAGTGCACAGGAGGCAATATCGCACCAACCGAGACTCCCTGATTCCCATCCATAAGCTGATTCGTCGACTGGAGAGCCAAGGAGTGATCAGCAAGACTCGATCACCCTTTAACAGTCCCATATGGCCAGTGAGAAAGTCTGATGGAGAGTGGAGACTGACAGTAGACTATCGTGGCCTGAATGAAGTTACACCACCACTGAGTGCTGCCGTGCCGGACATGTTAGAACTTCAGTACGAACTGGAGTCAAAGGCAGCCAAGTGGTATGCCACAATTGATATTGCAAATGCTTTCTTTTCAATCCCTTTGGCAGCAGAGTGCAGGCCACAGTTTGCTTTCACTTGGAGGGGCATCCAGTATACCTGGAATCGACTGCCCCAGGGGTGGAAACACAGCCCTACCATTTGCCATGGACTGATCCAGACTGCACTGGAACAGGGTGAGGCTCCAGAGCACCTGCAATACATTGATGACATCATTGTATGGGGCAATACAGCAGAAGAAGTTTTTGAGAAAGGGAAGAAAATAGTCCAAATCCTTCTGAAGGCCGGTTTTGCCATTAAACAAAGTAAGGTCAAGGGACCTGCACAGGAGATCCAGTTTTTAGGAATCAAATGGCAAGATGGACGTCGTCAGATTCCAATGGATGTGATCAACAAAATAACAGCTATGTCTCCACCAACTAGCAAAAAGGAAACACAAGCTTTCTTGGGCGTTGTGGGTTTTTGGAGAATGCATATTCCAAATTACAGCCAGATTGTAAGCCCTCTCTACCAAGTGACCCGGAAGAAGAATGATTTCAAATGGGGCCCTGAACAACGACAAGCCTTTGAACAAATTAAACGGGAGATAGTGCATGCAGTAGCCCTTGGGCCGGTCCGGGCAGGGCAAGATGTAAAGAATGTGCTCTACACCGCAGCCGGAGAGAACGGCCCTACCTGGAGCCTCTGGCAGAAAGCACCTGGAGAGACTCGAGGCCGACCACTAGGCTTTTGGAGTCGAGGATACAGAGGATCTGAAGCCAACTATACTCCAACTGAGAAAGAGATATTAGCAGCATATGAAGGGGTTCGAGCTGCTTCTGAAGTCATTGGTACTGAAGCACAGCTCCTGTTGGCACCCCGACTGCCGGTGCTGGGCTGGATGTTCAAAGGGAAGGTCCCCTCTACACATCACGCAACTGATGCTACGTGGAGTAAGTGGGTCGCACTGATTACACAACGGGCTCGAATAGGAAACCTCAGTCGCCCAGGAATCTTGGAAGTGATCATGGACTGGCCAGAAGGCAAAGATTTTGGACTATCACCAGAGGAGGAGGTGGTACGTGCTGAAGAAGCCCCGCTGTACAATAAATTGCCAGAAAATGAGAAGCAATATGCCCTGTTCACTGATGGATCATGCCGTCTTGTGGGAAAGCATCGAAGGTGGAAAGCTGCTGTATGGAGTCCTACAAGACAAGTTGCAGAGACTGCTGAAGGAGAAGGTGAATCAAGTCAGTTTGCAGAGGTGAAAGCCATCCAGCTGGCTTTAGATATTGCTGAAAGAGAAAAATGGCCAGTGCTCTATCTCTATACTGACTCATGGATGGTGGCAAATGCCCTGTGGGGGTGGTTGCAGCAATGGAAGCAGAGCAACTGGCAGCGCAGAGGCAAACCCATCTGGGCTGCCTCACTGTGGCAAGATATTGCTGCCCGGGTAGAGAACCTGGTTGTAAAAGTGCGTCATGTAGATGCTCATGTACCCAAGAGTCGGGCCTCTGAAGAACATCAAAACAACCAGCAGGCGGATCAGGCTGCTAAGATTGAAGTGGCTCAGGTAGATCTGGACTGGCAACATAAGGGTGAATTGTTTCTAGCTCGGTGGGCCCATGACACCTCAGGTCATCAAGGAAGAGATGCAACATACAGATGGGCTCGTGATCGAGGGGTGGACTTAACTATGGACGCTATTGCACAGGTTATCCATGAATGTGAAACATGTGCTGCGATCAAACAAGCCAAGCGGTTAAAGCCTCTCTGGTATCAAGGACGGTGGCTGAAATACAAATATGGGGAGGCTTGGCAGATTGATTATATCACACTCCCACAAACCCGCCATGGCAAGCGCTATGTGCTCACCATGGTGGAAGCAACCACAGGATGGTTGGAAACATACCCTGTGCCCCATGCCACTGCCCAGAACACTATCCTAGGCCTTGAAAAGCAAGTCCTATGGCGACATGGCACCCCAGAAAGAATTGAGTCAGACAACGGAACTCATTTCCGAAACAACCTCATAGACAAATGAGGGAGGGGGGGGAGTGAGCGAGCAGCTGCGTGGTGCTTAGTTGCCAGCCGGGTTAAACCACGACAAGAAGCCTTAGGAAATAAACTACAAAAATCTAAAGATCAAGGTCTGAATGACTTGCAGACCCACCAATATAATATTCAAATCAAACAGTTCCTGATTCCTCTCTGATTTCTGTACCATGCTCATTCTCACTATGTGTTTAACTTAATAGGCCAACTAGAGAAGCCATTGCTTCACTCTAATGAGTTTTAAACACCAAAAAACATGTATACTTATTGCATTACATCCTATGGTATCCTATTGCATGATTAATGTTCTTAACTGATACAAAATCTTTATAAAATGCATATGAATTGCATAAATTTTACTGTTTAAAGCACATTGTAGCACTCAGCAGATCTACTTACCAAAATCTATATGAGTTTTCATGTGATTCTTATAGGAAATAGAGGCACAAGTCACTAACTGTTCTGTATATGTCAATACCAAAAGCTGTTATTTTAATTCATTAGCACATTTTCCTTTTCTGTGAATTAAACCATAGATAACATTGCCACTTTGAGTTATTTTGTTCACCTTTTAAGTGGTGAAAATTTTCCTTCTTAAATTCTTCATTCCACCTAAAGGGATATTGCTTTATTCTGTATCACATTTGGGGCAGAAAGACCTTGCCCAATATAGCCTGACACTGATATGAACTGGTTCAAATTGATTCACAGACATGCCTGCCTGTCAGTAACTCTCAAATATTTGCTTAGCTGACTTGACACAAAACTGCAAAATACCTGTTTGAAGGAGCATATGGATACCATATGGGCTTTGCTGGGGTTTCAGTAAATGTAAGCTTTAAAAAGAACTTTAAAAGGTACTTCATCCTATATTCAGTAAAATTCCTTTGAGCACAAACTGAGCACAAATCCTTAGGGGAATGCCAAGTCTGCATTTTAATATTTAGTACATATCGCTGAGGCAACAGGACAATCTCACCTGGAGTGTCTGATTGTCTTGATGTCATAACATTAAGGATAACAAAACAATCTTATTGTTACTCCATGTTATTAATTCTCAGTGATTCATGCATACATACAGTTTAAAGTTTGTCACTGTCTTGGTAACTTCACTTCCTTCTGTTCTTCCTTTCCATCCACTCACTGAACTCATATATCCAACTTAAAAGAGAGGATTATTTTTTATCAAGGGTTTCAGCACAAAAGCATGTTGACACTGTATCCATCTTCCTAGGAACATCTTCAGGTTACCCAAAATGTACAAACAAAACACAGAGAGTCACAGAATGTCCAGCAGAAAATCTGAGATATTTTTGCAACTACTGAGCCCATTACTTCCACTTATCATTTAAAGGGTTCACTCATATTCCTGTGGAGGTAAGATTATCTTGGACAATATTGGGCTTGTGATAGACAGAACACTCTTCATAACAAACTTCATCTATGTGCAATACTGTTATTTTGGGGGCTCAATATGGTCTTGAGAATCCTGAACATGCCTTAAGTCTTTTACCAAATTCATCAAATCCCTGTTCCATTACAGCAACCTGGTCCAACAAACATCTGGACATGAGGACTTACCACTGGTCTTTCAAGCAGCAACAGAAATAAATAGAAGCCAGTTTACAAAAGTGAAGTACTTTTATTTTATTAAAGTACTGAATGTGAGACAGGTAACTGCTTCAGCCAGAGTTACCACAACTATCAGTCAGTTTAACCATCAAGGCAATCAAGATTATTTGCTGCTTAAACTTGACTTTACAATAAAGTATGCACTGACTAAAAATAAGTCCCTGTGAAGTATCTGAAGTTAGACACCTAAATAGTGAGATTGCAGCCCCTTTGAAAATCTCTTCATCCATATTCTTCCAGATACAAAAATGAAGGGTTTTTTTTACTTTCCATGCAGTCTTACACTGCACAGTAGTTGCTAGAAAGTTACTTGCTGCTGCTGTTGGAGAAGTCCTTTTTATAATTTAGTTGTTCTCTCTTCATTATCCAGGATGTCCACACTTTTCAAATGCCTAATGATACGCTTTGGGCCCAGGAAGTAGGATATTCATATGGATGGAAAAAAAGCACTGTAGAACCCATGAGACTCCTCCCTGCTGAAGGGGGGGAAACATGGAGGTGGCTCTGCAGGGCCAGACACTGCCCAGAACGCCTCCCTTCAATGCTGCAGCAACATTGCATCCATTTCCATGGTTTCTTCCAGCCTAATTCACTAACTGTGAAGTTTAACTACTTATAAAGGGGAAGGGGGGGCAGAGAAGAGATACAGAAAAAGGGAGAAAATGCAGAGAGTAGAGCAAGTATTTCAGTTTGGTTTGAAAACTTTTTCTTCCAGCTCCCACAACCAAATGCCATGTATACCATGTACACCAGAAGGATTCACTCCAGTCTTCAAAAAGGGCAAGAAGGATGACCCAGGGAACTACAGGCCAGTTAGTCTCACCTCTGTCCCCGGAACTCATTCTGGGTGTCCTCTCCAAGCAAGTGGAGGAAAAGAAGGTGATAAGGAGTACCCAGCATGGATTCACCAAGGAGAAATCATGCCTAACCAATCTTACAGCCTTCTACAATGGTATGACAGGCCAGGTAGATGAGGGGAGAACAGTGGATGTTGTCTACCTTGACTTCAGCAAGGCTTTTGACACTGTCTCCCATAACATCCTCATAAGGAAGCTCAAGAAGTGTGGGTTGGATGAGTGGACAGTGAGGTGGACTGGGAACTGGCTGAATGGCAGAGCTCAGAGGGTTCTGGTTGGCTGTGCAGTCTAGTTGGAGGCCAGTAGCTAGAGGAGTTCCTCAGGGCCCAGTACTTGGCCCAGTCTTGTTCAGCTTATTCATCAGTGACCTGGATGAGGGGACAGAGAGGCTACCATCAGCAAGTTCGCCGATGACACAAAACTGGGAGGAGTGGCTGATACGCCAGAAGGCTAGGCTGCCATTCAGTGGGACCTGGACAGGCTGGAGAGTTGGGCGGAGAGGAACCTGACGAAGTTCAACAAGGGCAAGTGTCTAGTGCTGCCCCTGGGGAAGTTGAACCCCATGCACCAATACAGGCTGGGGGCTGACCTGCTGGAAAGCAGCTCTGCCAAGAGGGAACTGAGAGTCCTGGTGGATGACAAGCTGACCATGAGCTATCAGTGTGCTCTTCTTACCAAGAAGACCAATGGTATCCTGGGGTGCATTAAGAGGACCGTGGCCAGCAGGGCGAGGGAGGTTGTCCTCCCCCTCTACTCTGCCCTGGTGAGACCCCACCTGGAGGACTGTGTCCAGTTCTGGGCTCCCTGGTTCAAGAAAGATGTGGAACTCCTAGAAAGAGTCCAGAGGAAAGCAACTAGGATGATTAAGGGACTGGAACATCTCCCCTATGAGGAAAGGATGAGGGAGCTGGGCTTCTTTAGCCTGAAGAAAAGACTGAGAAGGGACCTCATAAATGTTTACAAATATCTTAAGGATGGATGTCATGAGGACGGAGTCAGACTCTTCTCAGTGGTGCCCAGTGACAGGACAAGGGGCAATGGGCACAAACTGGAAGATAAGACATTTCAGTTGAATATGAGGAAAAACTTCTTTACTTTGAGGGTGACAGAGCACTGGAACAGGCTGCCCAGGGAGGTTGTGGAGTCTCCTTCTCTGGAGATACTCAAAACCCGCCTGGACGATGTCCTGTGCAGCATGTTCTAGGTGAACCTGCTTTAGCAAGGGGGTTGGATTAGATGATTTCCTGAGGACCTTCCAACCCTTGCCATTCTGTGATTCTGT